TCCCTGCACTGGCACATCCTTTTGTAGATGTAGTTTTCTTTCAGATTGGGCTTTGATACCTCATAATAATAGGATGCTTCTTTCATGATGCTTGGATCCTGATACTCTTATTCCATTATGTTGGACCTTCTGATTTTCCACGGCTCCTTCACAAATCTTTGTATTGATTGGGCTTTAACTGCCTACACTAGGTTGTTGTCCTATTTGGATGTTCTCTTGTCCTTGTTTGTGCTCTAATATATAGGCCACTGGGACTCCCTCTCCTGTGGACATGTACTGTGCTCTGCTCCAGCTAATGGCATTAGGACCTGAAGCAAAACAAAACAAAAGTAAGGGGAAGGAGAAGAAAAGAAAAATCTTGCCTTCTTAGATTTGCTCCTAGTCTTTCGGAGTTTATGAATAAAAAGGTTTTCAAAGACAAATGCACTCCTTATTTTCAATTGTAAAAATGTGATTTAAAGTGAAAAAATTTTGAAACAATTAGAAAAAAGTAAGATTTGATATTAATTTTCTTTTCAATTTAATAAACTTTCATTGTCTTTTATTAGGTAAACAGTGTAAATTAGAGATAAAGTAAAAAGACTGTAATGTATGCTTAAAGTTTCTCGATTCAAAATTTCTAGTTTTACAGATGAGGACCTTGAATCCTGGTTAGATCAAAGGCCTTTCACAGATTTTCTAGGTGGCTGAGTCAGAAATAAATAGAAAAGGCATTTCCCCCCGCCCCTTTCATCAATATTCTTGGCATGCTACCTGCATTATTATTGCTTAACATTATTTTACCTTTAATGTAAATTTCATAGAAAAATCATTAAAATTGGAAGCACTTTTCTTCACTAATAATATTACTGATGTTGTGGTTGTTGTGTTATATGCCATTTAGTTGATTACGATTCATACCATCTCTATGAGTAACGACTCTGAACCTTGCCTTATCCAGATCTCGATCTCTGATACACTTGACTGTATTAACATAGTCACTGAGTCAATCCGTTTCATTCAGGGTCTTCCTCTCCTGTGCTCACCCCTCCACCTTTCTAAGTATAATGTCTTTCTCTAGAGACTGACCACTTTCGACAACATGCTTAGAGTATGAGAGACAGAGTTTCAAAATCTTTGCCTCCAAGGAGCATCCTGCTTTCACCAACTACAGGATAAATCTGTTTTTCTCTTGACAGTCCGTAAGAGAATGCCTTATTTGACACCTTGAAGTATTACCAGAGTAACACTTTAGTAGTAATAGTTTATGTGAATGGTGGTTCCTTCACATTGTGGAGTTGGAAATGACCCATAGCTGCCCCTCCAGCTGCTTTTCAGAGGGAGTGAACTGCACAGAAGGATATTGCCCACCCTTCTTCCACAGAGCAACTAGGTGGATTTGTACCATGGGCCTTCAGGATTGCAGTGCAGCTTCTTGCCACTAGGCCACCAGACGTAATTGAGTGGAAGATCTACAAATCAGCCTTACCAACTGTCAGTAATTTGTAATTTTTAAAATACTTTCTTTTACATGAATGTTTATATTATACTATTTGTATTTGGTCAAGTTGTCAAATAGGTGATTTATTTGTTTTCCTATTTATTGTCTTACGGAGTTGGTGGACTGGTTACTTTATGTACATAAATATGAACGACTGAAAAATTTAAGCTTTCAAAAAATCTCACAACTTAAGATTTTTATTATTTAAAGTATACTTATAGTTGTGAAAAAAATGAATATCTTACAAATAAATCTACTTGCTGTTTGGGCTGGAAATGAATCAGTTGCTGGGATAGGTGAGCTTTCATTTCCAGGAATCACCTTAAGTCACTGAGGCTTACTAAACTTTTTAAAAATTCAAAGAATTGAAGAGTCCTAAAAACTGAATACTTTAAGAGTGCAGCTGTGACTTGGCCCTCAATGAGACATTTGCTCTTTGAGCATCAGTGTAATTTTTTACGTTAATAAATGCACCCTATTTTATAATGGGAAGAGACACAGCATTGAGAAAATTTAGCCCACCTACTTTCAACTGATTCAAAATCGGGAAGGGTGTGCACAAGGAATGTGTTCTGTCTCCATACCTTTCCAATCTGTATGTAGAACAGATCATCTGGGCACACTGGGCTGTATGAGGCGGAATGTGGCATCAGGATTGGAGGAAGATTCAACAGCCTGCGTTATGCAGATGACTCAACCCTGTTTGCTGAACCTGAGGAGGATTTGAAGCTTTTGCTGCAGAAGGTCAAGGACTGCAGCCTTCAATAGGGATTGAAGCTCAATATCAAGAAACAAAGATTCTCACCACTGGGCCAATTGGCAGCATTCTGATGGCTGGTGAAGAGATTGATATAGTTAACAGTTTTATTTCGCTTGTATCCACAGTCAACACTCTTGCTATCAGCAGCCAGGAAATCAAGAGAAGAATTGCATTGGGAAAGTCAGATGTCAGGGACGTCTCCAGAGTACTGAAGAGCAATGACATCAGGCTGGAGACTAAGGTGCACCTAATTCAGGCCATAATCTTCATATTTGCGTGCTATGTATTGGTTGCTATGAGTTGCAAACGACTCGACGGCACATAACAACAACAACATGTATTGGAGAGCTGAACAGTGACTAGGGATGACAGAAAGAGAACTGATGCCTTTGAACTGTGGTGCTGGAGAAGAGTGTTGAATATACCATGGACTTCTAGGAGAAGAAACAGGTTTGTCTTAGAAAGGGTGAAACCACGCTGTTCCTTGGAGACAAGGATTCGGAAGCTTCGTCTGACATACGTTGGGCATGTTGCAAGGAGGGACCGACCAGTCCTTGATGAGATGGATCGAGTCAGTGAATGAGGTAATGGGATTAGGTGTATCAGCGACAGCGGGGTTGGCACGGGATAGAGCAGGGTTTAGGACTCTTATACATAGGGTCGCTAGGAGTTGCAAGCGACTCGTCACCACATAACAACAACAACAACAACCTTCAATTGCCCGCTGGAGAAGGATAGCCAGCCTTCCTCTTTGAGATTTACTTCCTCTGAAAACGTCCTGGAGGATTATCTGTGCCACACAACAAACACCACTTTCTACTGTAAAATGCTTCTACCACATACCATGTATATGGTCAACCGAGAACTGTGGACTTGAAACACTTTTAATGGTGATTCATTACCTCCCAAAGCAATTACTTTTTTTTTTTTTTTTTTATTCTCCAGAAGCCTGCTTCTTGGTTAACTCTGTCTTGCTGATTGGCTTTCCTCCTTAGGAGTGCACTCCTTAAAAAAAAAAAAAAGTATTAATATAAAAATCTTATTGCTGATCAGTGGAATCTGACTCGGAGAAACCATATACACAGAGTAGAAACTGATCCACAAGGTTTCCAAAATCTTCTTGGCAAGAAGCATTTCAAGCACTTGACACCGTTTACTCTTCTTTCATTTTACAGCCAAGAAAACCAGTAGACCCTAGCTGTGAGTGATGCAATAGATCCTTAGGTTTCTTTCCATTAGCAGTCCAAAGCTTAACCGCTCAGCCACCAGTTCTCCTTCAAGTCAAGAAAAGCACTTTGAATTCTCTGGTAATTGTCCTTAGCCATGAAACAGTGAATCATGCTTTCGCTTTGTTTCTGGACAATCATATCCAGCAGACACAACCTTTGCCCTCAAACACTGATACAAGCAAACTTGTTGACTTCACACCTCAATCAGCTTTTCTTGAACTCTCATCTGAACAAACATTCATTTTTGATCCGCGGAAATCCTGTTCAGCGTCCGGAAGGGCCGGCTTAGTCTGTTGTGGTTCAGCCAGCCTCTTAACTACGCTGAAGATTTGGTTTCCTCTTTCTCCTCTGGTTTTAAAAAGTTAGACCTAAAGCAATTTACGTTAGTCTGTTAGACAATGAAAGGGCGCCCCGATTCCATTCCAGGAAACTGGTTTCAACACAGTAATAAAGAAGTGGACCAGCCAGCCAGAGAGGAGGCTAGGGACTCTGACACCGAGGTGGTATCCAGGTAAACTGCGAGGGCGAGAAGTTTGGGGGTGCGGCCACTGTAGCTGCGAGGGAGCAGCAGAGACACCGAAAGGCGCGCGGTCGGGCGCCGGGTTGAGCGCCCCGTGTGGACGCGCCTGGGACTTCAGGCCTGGGAGCGGGTCACCGCGTGCTGCAGAGGTGGGGACTCGGCCCTCCCCCTCCTATCTATAAAGGGCGTAGGGCCGGATCCTGGAGTTTCACTGCCGACCCACCAAAGAGATAAAGTGGAGGGAGAGGGAGAGAGTCAGTCTTATGTGGACACCTACAGTGAAAGATTCAGAGACAGACAGAAACAGAGAAGCAAGGTGAGAGGCAAGTGAGATTTTCCTATCAGTTTTCCAAGCCAAGGCAGTATCCAAGTCAAGGGAGTGGGAGGGTCCGGTGGTTTAGACTCGGGAACTCTCAGAGGGCCATTTTCTACAGCTGCGTGGGGCTGCTTCTCTCACCCCTTTTGTGTTTACGGCGGAGGAAATTAAGCAGAAAGACAGGAAGAGGAAGCGTTGTTCTGCAGCTAGTAATGGTTTTAGTTCTTGCTAATCAATGGCATGGTTTGGGGCTTTATATCCGGGAGGAGCATGTGTCACTGCACATGAAGCAAATCCTGGGCCATTTGCAAACCTGGTTCCAGGGCAACTGGCTCCATGCCCAGCCTGGCGTTCGAGGTCTCCGGCCACACTGCGCTCCCTGGTCTAGCCGGCGGGTGGCCTGGTAACTTTATCTCTGTCCCCCTTTCCCCCCTTTATCTCAGGCTCTCCAGGAGGCCCAGGGGCCCCGCACTACCTATCCCTACTCGGGCTGCGCAGCCTCTTCAATGCCCCTCTGGTCACTGGCTGCTGCTTTTTGGAAGGTGGCTGCGGATCAGGAGCGCTCGGTGGCACCATTGACTCTGACCTGCACCGCTGCCTGACCTGCGCGCCCTTGGGCACCTACACGGGTGCGCTCGGCGCGTCCCTGCGCGCACCAGCCTGTCGCGGGCCCTCGAGAGGCAATCCTGATCGGGATGGCCCCGGGCAGGACTGTGGCCGGACTTTTACTGCTGGCGGCCGCCGGCTTCGGAGAAGTAGTGTCCGAAACTGGGCTCGCCTTTAGCGAGGATGTGCTGAGCGTGTTCGGCGCGAATCGGAGCCTGTCAGCGGCGCAGCTGGGGCGCCTGCTGGAGCTTTTGGGAGCCGCCCCCGTGGAAGGAGCTCCAGAGCCTGGGCAGCTGCACTTCAACCAGGTAAAACAGGCAAGGATCCCAGGGACTCTCCTATACTATGGGTGCCCAGATGAATCGTATTTCTTTTGGAAACTCAACTGAGTTTTCCCGTCTATGAGGCCAGGCAGGCTTTCAGAAACTGTAAATTGCTTAGAGGGAGATTGCCCGTCCTTCTCCCGTGTAGCAGCTGGTGGATTAGAACCTCTAGCCTTTGCGTTAGCAGGGTAACTCCTTACCCAATAACCACAGTATTAGTCAGACACGTGATAATTCCCTAGTTTAAGGACAGTCTTAACTTACTCACGACCAATTAAGTAAAGTTCCCAAGTAAATCTAAGAGTCAAGTATCAAAAAGAACTAACAGCGTAGTCTGAAGACCCCCGTACTGAGTTGCGCTGTGAGCTCAAGCGGCTTGGCTTCCACGCAGTTCCAATCCACCAGAAAGCTCCACAGGAGAAAGATGGACAATCTCCCCCTTTGTGATTAGCAATCTCAGAAACCAATTTTGAGTAGATTCTGCCTTGACCACCAAAAGTAAATGAATGAGTTATTGAAAATGTATGCATTCATTCTCTCATTGCCTTTGAGTGGGACCTGACTCCATACGGACCCGTCAGCAGATTTTTGGAGGCTGTATACCACACAGCAGGAAAATGTTCGTCCAGCTTTCTTCTGAGGAGCCACGGGTGGATTCGAACTGCCAGAGAGTAGCTCTCTTTTGGTTAGGAGCAAAACAACCTAACCCCTAGGTTATCAAGGCTCCAGATAAATATTCTAGGAATGAGTATTTCTGAAATCTGTGAAGCAGGCAAAATGTACTCTTGGCAATCCTCCAGGCACCCAAGTCCCCTCTTTAACTGATGTAACTGGTGCCTTGATGTTTCCTTCCTTCTGTTCAGGTGTCTGCTATTCTCAACAGGATAGCTGACTACAGTGTTTTCCATATTATTCCTCACTTATGGGAAATGCTGCTGTTAAAAAAAGTGTTTGTGTGTGTGTGTATTGCAAGGCATTTGAGAAACTCTGCATGTGGTATATACCTCTTGAGGAAATTTTGAATTTCCCAATTCATTTGACTTTTTGTTACAGATGGAGGAACTTTATCAGATCATTCCTTGCTAATACTAGGTAGCTTTGGTATTCTTTTTCATTAGAAATATCTTCTATCAGTTAAAGTAGATCATACTTAAGAAGATCACCATGTTATGTCAGAAGATAGTACCTCTTTGACCAGGCCAACGTTCATGGATGTTTTATGTATGTTCTTGAATAAACTATAGTTATAGACCCATGGGAAAATAAACAAAACCCTCATATTATATCAATAGTTGAGAAAATAAAGCCAAGTAAGCAACTTTCTGTGTATTTTCTGGCTGGTTTCTGTCCTTCCTGTCAATGCAGGGGAAATAGCTGAGCTGACTTTAGTATTTCTGTATAGAAGTAGGGACAGTCATATGACTGGAAGGAAGTTTTGGGGATTTGACTTGAAGTTGCCTATCTGTATCCCACACATTGTTTTAACTTAAATTATCTCCTTATCTTGCTTGCAGTCTCTGAAGGTGCACATGATCCCCGAGACACCCCTTGGCAAGTTATCTAGGGAACTTGGTTCAGCAATTTGATTCTCTATTTATGAGTAGATTAGAATGCCTTAATGCCTAAATTATATGTGTGTTGACACCTTATTTTTCCTTCTAAAGGGTATTTAACTACCCTTGTTATGAACTCCATTGGTATACAAATGAGATGAGAAGCAGTTCATAATTAGGTTGGCAACAAAGGGAAGCCAAATATTATTTATCACTCAATCAAGCCTACCAAACATCTGTTTGATGTTCTAAAAAGTCCTAAGGAAAATAACAATCACCAGTTAAGCGATGACAAACGAAATGCCAATTCAGAAAAATTCATTAATTTGCTAGTAATGGAAAGACTTTTGCAATACACTCATTCTAGCTCTGAAATCATCTCGTTTAGGGCCATGAATGTCCCCATTGTTACTTAACAAACATCAATGTTAGTTTCCTCACCTGTGTTGTGTTGTTGTTATGTGTAGTCACTAGCGACCCTATGTACAATAAGCCCTAAAATTTGCTCTATCCTGTGCCAAATCTACTGTCTCTGACACACCTACCTTTATTCACTGAATCCATCTCTTCAATGGTCTTCCTCTCTTTCTCTGTCCCTCTACCCTTCTAAGCATGATGTCCCTCTCCAAGGACTGGACCTGTAGCAAAGTATAATAATAATAATAAAAAATATGCATGCACCTTTTTTTGAAAAGCTTGATTTTTCTGACCTTGGAAAAGACTTAGAAAGCAGAATTAGATTCAATGGGCCTGAGATTTGCTGAATTTTCTGAAAGATCTACCTACAAACAGCATTATGTCTTTGGATGAAGGCTCTAGTATTTCCTAGGTTAACTTTTCTCTGTTTATGTTGTACTGTACTCTGGAGGTGTGTTAGACAACTTTGGAAGGCTTTATTTATTTGTTAAAAATGGTCCTAATGGTTAAATATAGAAGATTATTTAGGGCCATGAATGTTTCCATATTATCAGAGTACTCCTGGGTATGTTTTCAGTTCTTTTATTTGTTCAGGTGTTCCTTTCTCATTTGCTTAACCAAAGGGTTTTGGGGTGTTTTTCCAAGTTTTTACTTATAAACACCAGTTAAGCAGTTTACAAAAGGAAAGACCCCCTTGGTCTAAATTACCATGCTAAATGGCAAGAAATACCTTTGTTTAATTAGTCTCCAGGTTTTAATAGAAGTGTTCAAAGTGTTGGAGTGAGTGGTGTTGAGAAAGCAACTTCTCCGCCCCTTTTGTTTCTCCTTCCTGAATCTATTCTTTGGATATATGTTGTGTAGCATGATTCCAACATCTTTTTCTTTCCCATTCTTCACATGACTTCTTCATATGACTTTAATTATTAAGCCAGAAGCTTGAAACTTGTAATTTCTGTCAGTTGCTATTGTTACTACCGTAGATGTGCCCACAGAGAGCCCATATGAAGAGTAGGACTGAACTGCCCCATAGCTGTTCTGAACCTGTAATCTTTACTGAAACAGACTGTCAGGTATTTTGTCCCACAGAGATGCTGATGTGTTTGAAATACTGACCTTTTTTTAACTCTCTTCTGATAACTTGTCCCAGACAAGTCTCCTCTATTCATCTTCACTCACTCACCCATCCACTGTCAGTCAATCATGAACTCACTCATGACTGTTGACCTTCCAGCAGGTTTCTGAGGCTATAAATTGCACTGGAGGAGATTGCCCATCTTCTCTCTCAGAGCCATTGGTAGATTTGAACTTCCAGAGAGGTTAGCAATTCAACTCCTTGCAGATTTCTTGTTGTTACGTGCTATCGAGTCACCTGTGACTCATAGCAACCCTATGTGCTCTGAAACCTACCCTATGCTGAGCCATCTCATTGTATCCAATAGATCTAATCCCATTTCTCCAGTCACTGAGTAAGTCTGTCTCATCCTGGGTCTTCCTCTCCTGTGCTATACTTCCATGCTTCCAAACAGGATGTCTTTCTCCAATGACTGGTCCCTCCTGGCCATGTGCCCAAAGTATGTGAGACAGAGCTTTAGAATTCTTGCCTCCAGAGAGCAGCTTGGTTTTACCTTCTCCAGGACAGATCTGTTTGTTCTCTGGCAGTCCACGGTATGCTCTTCAGTACTCTACAAAGGTCCCGACAGCAGACTTTCCCTATACATATTAGTTATTTCGAAAGAAGTTTTTTTGCCAATGTCTTTAATGCAGGTCTTACTTCTTCCTTCATTACTATTGATTGGTTCCTGTTCTTATGATACTTCCTGAAATTTTTCAGTGTCAATCAGTTCTTTTTGGTACAATGACTCTGTGTATTCCCTCTTTCTTTTGATGGTTTCTGGATCATTCAATATATTGCCCATAGCCTCTTTCATTATTGCTACACAGGGCTTAAATTTGTTTTCAGTTCTTTCAGCTTGAGAAAGGCAGAGCTAGTTCTTCCCTTTTTATTCTACAATTCTAGCTCTCTGCACATTCCATTATAATACTTGCTTTTTCCTCTGAGGTGCTGTTTGAAATAATTTGTTCAGCTCTTTCACTTAGTTGTATTTTCCTTTAGATTTGGCTTCTCCATGTTCCGGTGCAATCTTTAGAGTCTCTTCTGACATTCATTTAGATTTTTTTCTTTCTCCTCTGCTTTTGAAACTTTTGCTTTCTTCATGGAGGATATTCTTGATATCATCTCACAATTCATCTGGTCTTCTATCATTGGTCTTCAATTCCTCAATTCTATTCTTAAGATTAACATGAAATTCAGATGGAATTGATTCAAGAAGCTGGACACTATGAAGAGGAGTGTGGCATCAGGTTTGGAGGGAGACTCATCAATAACCTGCATTATGCAGATGACACATTGTTACTTTCTGAAAGTGAGGAGGGCTTGAAGCACTTGTTGCAGAAGATCAAGGAGTGCAGCTTTTAGTATGGATTGTGTCTCCATATCAAGAAAACAAGAGTCATACCACTAGTCAAATAGGCAGTGTCATGATGTATGGAGAGGAGATTGAAACTGTTAACAGCTTCATCTTGCTTGGATTCACGATTAACACCTCCTTGGTACCATCAGTCAGCAAATAAGGAGATGCATTGCACTGGGAAACTCTGTAGTTAAAGACCTTTTCAAATTATGGAAGAGTAGTGATGTCAGTTTGAGGACTAAGGTGCATTTGATTCAGGCCATGGTCTTTCCTATTAGGCCATGCATCCGAGATCTGGACAATGAATAAGGATGACCGAAAAAGAATTGATGCCTTTGAACTGGGGGGTTGAAGAGCACTGGACAATCCATGGATGGTGAAGAGGATGAACAGATACCTTAGAGATGGTACAGCTGGGAGTGCTCTTTGGAGGCAAGAATGATGCGGCTTAGCCTCACATACTTTGGACATGTTGCTAGGAGGTGCTTTCCTTGTAGAGGGACATGATGTTGGGAAAGGTAGAGGGTCAGCAAGGGAGAGGAAG